TTATTATTCTGTGTGATTTGTTTATGGTACTGTTGGAGAGATCGTTTCTCCCTCGTCCTTTCCCCAGTCCTTCCAGATTAACAACGGGAAAGAAAACAGAAGAACTCCAGGAACAGTCTGGAGTAATCTGTAATCTACAATCCTAAGAAACTACAAGAAATTATAAGTATGGTACTCTCTGCAAGGCATTTCACTAAACTAACTTACTCCTCATCTTTATTCTGACACAATTCAACATTTGAACTCCTTTCAGTTTTCTGCTGTCATGTATTTCTAGCCCCTGTTCACAGTGATCCCTGAATAGAACGCAGCACAGCACACACAGCAGTTACTAAGACTGCTAACATACATAGCATCAAACTTTTGGCCATATTTGCTCAAAGACCTCTGCCTGTTTTAAGCAGTGATGGAAAATTGCTCTTATTTATAAAATGCACAGAAGTCTGGGTGTCCAATAGARGTTAAGACTTTTTCTCCCCACTAGAAGAGTTGTTAATAATCAAGGAGGAAAATTTCATATTGGTGGTGACAAATATTCTATCAGTGATGGGAAGTTCCTTAGTGTTTCTATAACATTTAAAATTCATTTGAAGAAAACATTAGGATTTTATTCATCTATTGATTTATTCCTTTGTTTAGAAATGGCTCTCTAAGGGTGGGAAATAAGTTGTATGACCTTGTGGATCTCTTCTCTCCTAAATCACTGACACTGTGTCAAATCCTTTCCACTATAAGGCATAGAAACATTTATCTCATTTAATCATGGAGCCAAATTTTTTTAACCATTACCTCTTTGCAGTGATGAGGACTTGGCCCAATATAATTTGGAAGATAGAGACTCAGATTCTCAAATAAAGTATTGACTGCAGATTAAAACTTTTTTTTTTTAAGTGGCAAAAATAAAAGCTAGATAACATTGAGATACTTTTGAAAAGGGGTTTTCAAAATCCCTGAATTGTTCACATCAGCCAAATAAGACAGGGGTAAAAAAAGAAGAAGAAGAAAGAAAAAGAAAATAGATACTTAAAAGAAGAGTGAGAGGAAAAAAAAATAGGAAGGAAAAACCAAACTACAGACCCCAAAACCTAGAGCTCAGCCAATCAATTCAACACTCTCCCCGAGGAACCAATGTACAAAGAGTAGTGTAAACTAGGAGTTTATAATTAAAGACTAAAAAAAAAATCAATAGCACTCACAAACATGTTTCAACCGAAAAAGTAAGATTTTGCAATTATGAAACACTTAAAATAATGCTTAGATCAACCAGATAGTTACAACTGTGGTTTTCTGTACTCCTCTGTCATTTTCCCTTTCTTACATGTCCCTCCCACTTTGCATCAGACCAATTAATATCTTTCCTTCCCCAACAGCTCTCTAGATAATTCACAGAAGCATTTGCTGTGTGGCCTAGAATTAAACAGAAACTATTAAGCAGTCAACTCCTATCTCTTCTGTAGAATTAATGTCATGTTAACTCCCACCATGCCTTGTTGGTCTGTGGTATGTAAATGAGGTATCTTAAAGAATTTGTAAGGTATTCCTCTCATACCCTCAGCAAAGTCCCACAATTTAATCCAGGATGCATCAAGACTATTTTAGTTACAATATGGGARCGCTTCCTTAATGGCTAATTTTAGCCTTAGTAATCTAAGTAGAAACCATAAGGAAAATCCAAAGCTCTTCATATCACAGTAACTGAGTTGAAGTTTTGTTATTTTTGATACTCGCACCACATCTTATGAGTTGCTTTTATAACATGCAGGAAAGAGACCTGAGGAAAAGTTGGCTGTGGGAGGGAGGAGGAGAGGATCAAACTGTGTGACTGAGTCTTATGAGCATACTTTGGAGTCATTTCATACTCCATCCTGTCAATTTTGCTAGAACAATGTGCTCTTATTCTTGGAGGCCTAAGCACATGAGCACTCACTCACCTCTCTAAGTAACCGTGTTCAGGGTCCCATTACATTCCATTATGATGATTAATAGCCTCCAATGCATTTGTACGAAGGCAGTCCAATGCATTGGGAACACTTTGATCATCATCAGCACACGGCTCATCTCCTGTGGTCACATTAACGACATGACTCCAGCTACCATGCAAAATGGCGGTACTGGATCAGTGCAGATGTCATCAGATCCCTGTTCATCCCAGGGACTTAATTTTCTTCCTAAAACACAGAGGTGACATTTGAAATGAGCCTTTTGACATTGCTTTATCAGACAGAGTCAACATGCTAAGGAGCCAGATGTGTTGCCTGTCCTGAAGTGGCCAGCAAGATGTGGCCACACAGATGTGCACTGCAACTGCAGCCACACTCAGAAACAAGATCCTTCAGCACCTCAGAAAGGCAAAAATGGGACAATGTTTAACACCATTCTGATCTGACCAGATTTAAAGGACCATGAGATGCCAGGAGCTGTGTGTCACAGTGCTTGTACAAGTATCTATGCTTTAACCCTAATATGGCTTCTCTTTTCCATCCCAGAGAGCTAGGCTTTCTAAAAATCCCTTCTGTAAAAATTTACGAATTTCTGCTCCCTCTTAGGCAATCGAATTAATAAATCTGCTGTGCACAGAAGACCATGATTTCCTCTTCATGGGCTCCACTCTTTTTCCAGAGCTTCCTCTTGAAAAGGCTAAAGAATTTTCTACTTCACTTCCCAAGACACAGCCAACACCTCYGTGGTCCATGGTGAACATGAAGCATGGTGTAGGGAGTGAAGAGGGGAAGAAGGAAGATTCCTTCCAACTCAGTGACTTCTAACTGATGCTGTGGGTATGATGAAAGGTCATTAGACCATTTACCACCTTTCTGCTTTATGAGAAGAAAATCTGAGCTCTTTGTTCATGAGTAGTCTTTATAAAACAAGAAGGCAGGATGTACCTGTCCAAATAATCTGATGATCTGGAGGACACCAACCTCCATCTGACAACTAAGTTGGAGAGATATAAAGCTCTCACTTTACAGAATCACAGGATCAATCAGGTTGGAAAAGACGTCTGAGATCATTGCATCCAACCCTTGACCTAACATCACCATGTCAACCAGACCAGGGCACTAAGTATCACGTCTGCAGTTTCCTTAAACACCTCCAGGAGCAGTGACTCCACCACCTTCCTGAGTAGCGGACTCCAATGTTTAACCACCCTTCTGTGAATAAATTCCTTCTAATGTTCAACCTGAACCTCTCCTGGGGCAGCTTGAGGCCATTCCCTCTCGTCCTGTCGCTTGTTGCCTGGGAGAAGAGAGCGACCTCCAACTGGCTACGGTCTCCTTTTAGGGGGTTGTCGAGAGTGAGGTCACCTCTGAGACTTCTCCTGGCTAAACACTCCCAGCATCCTCAGCTGCTCCTCTTATGACTTAACCTCCAGATCATTCACCAGCCTTGCTGCCCTTCTCTGGACTCCCTCTAGCACTTCAATGTCCTTCCTCAACTAATTTGTTATCAAAATCTTACTTGTGACAGAATGAAATATTATCATCGTTGTTCCACCGACAATGAATCAGGAAAGGAAAATAAGGCAACTTGCAGAGACCAATAAGAGCATCCCTTCAGAGCCCAGATGGGAATGATTCCCTCTTTTTTGGTGCATAGTTTATTCCAAGCCTTTGTGCACTCATTATGCACTCCCTGAAATCACTGAGCTGCAGGCAGCCAGTCTGTGAGAAAGCAACCATGCATTCAAAGCCTGTGGAGACAAGTTAGTGCCTCTCAAAAGCCACACTTCGCTGCAGAGAGCAGAGAGAGCCAACAGCAGCCATGGTGTCTTTGGTAATAAAAAAGGAGAACAAGCCATGTAGAAGTTATCTGTTAGCACTGACAGTTGTTAGAGACCATGTAACAGCCTGTAATGTATATAAAATTATTGACATCATATGTGTTTATATTTAGGTTAAACAACTATATTGTTTTTACAAGAGAAAACTGTTTCTGGAAACAATAGGCCAAATTGCTTTTCCTTGCTAAGAACAATGATGCAATGCTGCCAGTACCAACAGTTGTTATTACAGAATCAGCTAAGTGAAAACACAAGGTCTTTAGCGACTTGTATCTCACAAAGCACTCCAAGGCATGCTGATGCTGTTTTGTTTTGTTTGCTAGTCAGGATGGGTAAATGCAATTTGTATTTTGCATTTAGCTCATTATTGCACTTTTCCTTGTGTATGCTTCCTCATGTTTTCATTTCTCTTTCATGAGGGCAAGTATACAAAGATCCAGTTCTTGAGAATTTTTCACTATCAGAACTAGTTGATGAAAGCAGAGCCAGATGAACAGAAGAAGGATAATCCTTCTGGGATGTAGAAGGGGTCCAAAGGAAAAGAGAAGGGAATTGAGATGGAAAATATACAAACATACTCTGAACAGTGACTTGCACCATCCCATTAAAAAAAAAATTAAATATACAACTCTAGCATAGTTTACAACAGATCTGCATATTTGAGATTTTTTTGATAGCTAACATTATGATGAGCTCAATCAATTCATATATGCTAAAAGTATAAAATAGAGCTACATAAAGGGCCCTTGCCATTTGCCACTTGGATGCAGTTTAAAACAAAGTTTTCAACTTTTCACCATAGCTGATAAGTTAGAGATTCACCAGATGTGGACAAGATATAGCACACTGAGAGCATAAATTGATTTTATATTTAGGTTTAAAATGAATCTCATTGTCACTGAAATGTTAACCCCTCAACAAAAAAATCTACTGGATTTTAAAAATGCAAATTTTAAGCTCCCATGCTTGGCACAATAATGAAATATACAGCATTCCTTGTTGTCCTTACCTTTGAACTGCAGGTAACTGTACAGCAGTGTTACAGGAMAAAGATACACTTGTGAAATATTCACAAGCTGATGTCTTTGCAGCCCCATGGGACCTCTGAAAAGCTCTTTTTYCCCCCCACATCTCTCTCTTAGACTTTAAATAATGAGGAGCAGAAAAGGTATGAGACAACATGTCTGTGTGTCTCCTTTGAAAAATTTTCTTACATTACCTTGTTATCTATGCTCAAGAGCAGCAGGTATTCCAGCAGTTCAGAGTGTATCCACAGCAAAAACACCCAGCAAAACAGAGTGCCAGTAGACACAGCTTTCAGCTTCAAGTCCAGTCAGCAAAACACAAAACAGATACACGGAGGGAGTGGTGGCACAGCTGAGGGGGGGATGTGTGTGTGAAGGGGTGGAAAGGCAGACTTTTGCAAGCCACTTAGTTTAGGAAATAGATATTTATTATCCATCCGGAAAAAAAAAAAAAAAAATCTCTTTTCCCTGATCTGAGCTCACAAAATCCTTTCGTACAGAAACTTTTCCAACTTCCTTAGTATTACAGCCTGGATCAGAGCCTGAGCACCCCAGAAAGATTAAAGGACTGGTCACTGTGCTTGTCACAAGGATTTGGACAATTCTTTTCAATTTAGCCTTCGTTGTTAACTGCTGAGAAACACCGATACAGGCAAGGATTTGGAGTTTTTGTTATAGTTCTCTATTGTGCATCAGGAAAGGCCACTCTGAACCTGGTATGAGGTGTAAGCTGAGTAGGAGGGATTTCACCTGTTTCCACACATCTGAGTCAGTCTTGAGTATGTACAAGACTAAAGACAGACAAGATTTAGCAAATGAATCCAGCCCGGCATTCCTGAATGCAGRTATTGTCCTTTTCCAGAAGAAGCATCACCTTTTTAATTTCCAGTTCTCTAAGACTTCCAACTATTTTTTTATCCCCTCTGCATTTCAAAGATGCTTATATAACAGGTACTTTCCCACACTGGCCTTAAAAGCCCTTATTCTCTTTCTTTCATTATTTCAACAGACTAATAGTGGTTGCAACACAGGTGACGGTAAATCAAATCAAGCTGAAATGTGGGCCTGACTCATTCTCAGACGATATATGATTTGTTTGCATTACATTATCTTGGAAACCCATAAGTAATGTRCACTAACTGCATGTCCGCACATGGCGAGAAGATAAATGCTCTTAGTCAGTAATATAAAATCTAAATAAAATTACAATCAGGTTTGGATATTAGGATAGCTTTGCAACACCCTTGAGGCATTGCTCTTATCATTAGCGTTATTTGCATTAGAGTAGTGTCCAGAGATCCTGCCTATGATCAGTTTCAAATTGTGCTAGGCTCTGGAAAACGTGGGAAGAGACAAAAGTTTTGAATGCTAAATAGGTAATTACAGGCAAAGAGTGGGAGAAATAAAGGATTGTTATCATCACTACGTAGAGCTCTGAGGTGTGGAGATATTAAATTTTTTCTTACAGTCTAAGCACAGGCACAGAGCAGTATTGGAGTCCAAGTTCACCTTGCATCCAAAGTGTTTGCACACAAGCCCGTGTTTAGGTTCCCACTGGCTTTGTGGGAGTGCTGATAACAGGAGGAAAGATAGCTTGAGCTTGCCTTTCCCCAGCTACATTCCTACCTGCAGCTCGGGCAGCTGGGAACAAGGCTGGCTTGGCTTTCTCGGCCTGAGGCAACCTCCACAGACAGATGCTGTCATGCTGTCCTGTGACACCTTCCCAGTGCTGATCAGGCAAGTTTCCCCAAGTCCTTCCCATACAGGATTATAGCCCTGAAGTGTAGGATGGATGGGCAGGTGAGCACAGGAATAATGAGCTTAAACACTGAATGACTTCACAGGCAATRTGGGGGCATTTCTTGTTTTGTTTGTTTGTGAGGTTTTTTATGTGGTTTTAGTTTTTCTCTCCTCTCTGGGAAGGCTCTATGTCTTCCTTAAGGTCACCAGAAAGTCAGAGCACAGCTAAAAACCAGATACCTGCCTCCAGCTCAGCACCCAAAAGTTCATAATTCATGTTTGAAGATCTACTGGAAATATAGAAGTGACTTGGTAAAAAAATTGGACATATGGTCTTTCAATCAGTAGTGGAAGGGCTCTATTGACCTCCAAGGAAGTTTCTTTTSAAGGTGTCCTGCATGTGCACTTACAAAATTTTTACAACGATTACATAAACACCCATCATAATGCTGGGCTGGTGAAAGAGGGGGTGGATGTTTTTGTGCTGCTGTCTCACCCCRTGTTGGCAGGGATAAGAAAATTACAAGGTGATAAGAAGAGAKGCAGGTGGGAGGAGCAGACATGAGTGCTTGATTATGTACTTCATTAAGCAATGCTGGCCACATCAAATTGTAATGAAGTGTGTGTATATCTACATCATGTTTTGAGTGCCAGGCAATACATTGGCTACCTGACTCTGAGTGGACAGTGAGGGAGATATTTTCAGATGCAGAAATGTTGACTATCCAGGAGAGCTGGATAGTTACCTATTTTTGCCTTTGAAGGCTGTATATGATCAGTTAAGAGCACAATCTCACCAAGTGATCCAGTCACTCGCAGATGTAATTGTGCTTAGATAAATGAAACAACAGGCAGGAGTAAGGCTTGCAGACCTAGACCTAAAATAAAACTACTGGCACTCCAGGAGAGCAAGTTATTTCATCCTGTTTAAGTGCTCTACCAAAAAAGTAAACATTTTCTTCTCAAACGTGATAGGAACTTTAGTTATTATTTTTCAAAACTAATACTCTTGTTTTATTATAACTTATATTGTTCTGTAATTCCATGGGCTCATGTCTAATCCCATATGTAACATGTTTATTAGATGCAATATTTTATCTCTTGGATTCAATGTCTGACACTATAATTTTGTTCTTATTTCAATAAAAGTGTTTCCCTTCTCCTTGCTTTGTCAGAATCTAATGGTTTTCTTAATCACAATAGAAAGTTAGAAAGATTCCTCCCTAAAACACGAAAACAGACTTTATGTGTCTTCACCTTAATCCAATTTGTATCATAAAATCCAGACCAAATAAAGTAACTTTATTATATTAGAAACTGCTAGAATTGAGCTGGGATTTTTTGTTTGTTTGTTGATTGTTTTTAATATATGGGTATGAAATCTCAGTAAATCTGTAGCTCATTGGCTTCAACACCTGCAGCCTTGTGAACACAGAATGAAACATTACCGAATGCTCATGTGATTTCGGGTTTTCTTTGGGAATTCACTATCTGTATGCTTTAATCAAGTGGAGATACATAGGAACTCTTCCAACTCTCAGCTGACAAAAGCACAATATTGGTTGGTGACAACTCAACAGAAAAAAATTCTGCATGGGTTTTCCTGAGTTTTGTGAATTTATTAAAAAACAATATATTCTATACACAATTAGAGTATGAAAGTTAAAAAAGTTAGTAATTTGTATGGTATGTGAAATGTCTAGGAAATACAGGCATTTTCATATAATTTTAACTGTTGTATAATATGTAAGACTCTGAAGGCATCTGAATTCTTGGTATCCAGATCCAGGAAAGGTTCCCACTAGAAACATGTTCCTTGCATGCCATCCTCTGGAACAAAGGGCTTCTTTATCTCCTTCATCATATCTGTGCAGCTTTATTGCTGAATGTTCAGTCAAGCGCCACTGTTGAAAACAGAGGCTGGAAAACCCTGATTTTCTTTCATATTCATTTGCCATACCTTGTCAATATCTGCATAGCTCACCAGTGAATCTGCTTTTCATGCAATCCACCCAAAGGTTACAACTTATAGGTCAGGGATGGGAATTCACTTTGAAATCACCGGGCAGCTGAGCCTACATACATTACTGAAGTGACAGGYATAGCACGCAGTGATGGACCTCCTGTCAGTCACAGAGAGGTCACTTTGGTCTCAGTTGCCAACATGTTTTCTCCCATCTTGAAAAAAAAAATAAATTAAAAAAAGGTCTATGTTTTTTCTTCTTGTGCTGTTCACTAATGTCAAGTGGCTGAAGATTTAGGGCCCCAGAGCTCAGAAGGTTTCCTTAAACTGTGCTGGCTGTTATCTCARCAACAACATAAATTGCTGCCTGAAGTGAGCCCCTCATAAGCTATTCCAGGAGCAATGATGACAAACACATTAACATGAACTGTACTGGAAACAAACATGTCCAGCCCAGTGTCAGGAAAGCCAAAATAAGAGCATGGCATTCTCCTGTTTCATATCTACATTTTTTTCCACAATTGCCGTCAATTTATAAAACCTCTAAAACAGGTCTAGTTTAAAAAWTATCACCTTAACAGACTGAAAGAGTTTTAGTTTTGTTAGAGGTTCCTGAGTCTCACATGCAAGAAAGTTGTAACAGGAATAAAAAGAAGTATATGAGTTTGCTAAAGGTTCTCCTACAACTCTAATTTTAGTGTTATCATGAACAGATCAGAATACCAAATCTAAGATCAGTATTCATATCTCATTATGCCGTCTTTGTCTACTGTGTTAAAGAAATGCCAGAGCTCATCAGATAACAACAGAATATAAACATTGCAGGGGTTAAAGAATCATGCTCTYTGTAGTTATCTCAAACTGTTTGGGCTAGTTTCAGTAAAAGCTTGTTTCAGGGTCCTTAGAGATTAATAAGATCACAGCTCTCCAATTTCTGTGAGACCCCAGAAGAATCTTCCTATATTCTTGCATTTTCCCAACCTACTGAGGTACTTGAATGTTCTATGTATTTGCTCTGCACAGACAAAGGCTGGCTTTTCTAAACAAGGTGGTTTGGGTGACATTTTTTTTGGTGTCAAAACGAAGTCCTTCTTCCACTCAAAAAAACCCCCTCAGAACAAAACAAAAAATCATCCCTAGCATAAAGCAGTGTTAATACACATGAAATAAATTGATTTTGCCAAGGCTAAATTTTTCTAGTGGAGCCTATACTTGAGAACATTCGAGTGCTCTCTTGAGTAATCTCATTGTATCAGTGTTTGCAGGACAGTGCCTTGAATTTGTTTCTATCATACAAAGTTGATATATAAGGAGACAGGATTTAATTGAAACAACTCTAAGGAGTCTTCAATAAATCCTGGATTTTTTACCAGAAAAAAAGAATCTTTTTATAAAAGAAGAATCAAAGAGTATAAGGAATCTTTAGGAGAGATTCTGGTATCAAATGCAACTGTAGTATGTGATAAATGTGACTGCTGTTTATAATAAATGCTTTTTTATTTTTAAATGTGACTTTTTAGAGATGGAAGGATTTGCTCATTAAAAATATTTTTCTTTTACTTTGCATATTGGATTTTAGAAATTCATTCATACCATGGATTTGATGAAGACAAGCTGT